CATATTGGCCTCGTGGACCGACCCGCATGCTCTACACGGCGGTGGTCCTGTAGGAAATTGGCGGATAGGCTGAGCAATTTGTGCCACGGGCTGATGCTGGTGCTGGCGGTGACCATGGTTAGGGCGCTTGCCCTTCTTGCGGTTCTGATGATCACTCTTCCTCTTGCTAGAGCTAGAGGATAGGAGAGCTGGAGCATATGGAATAGGATACTGATAAGCTATCTGCGGAATGATCGGCGGTTGATAGGATGGCAGAGGAATGGCTGGTGGTGCAGTCTGAACAAGCTGAGCAGCATGGTAGTACGAGGGATCTGGCGCTATTGGAATGAGGCAGCTCTCCACTTTCTGCGCCCGAAGCACAGTATCAGCATAGGACATCAAATCGTGACTCCCAACTAGCTCACGGATCCTATGGTTCAGCCCCTTCAGAAATTTCTGGGCCTTCTTCTCGTCGGTGTTCACCATCTCACTGCCAAATATGCTCATCCTGGTGAAGTTGCGTGTATACTCATCCACGCTAGAGTTGCCTTGCTGCAGATGCCAGAAATCATGCTCCATCCGGTCACAAAAACTTTGCGGTAGTAACTTTCCCCGGAAGACCTCCTGCATCCGATCCCAAGTAAGAGCATTACGCTCAGCCACTGTCTTTAGACCCCAGTAGTCAAACTACCAATCGGATGCATCTGCCTTCATCTGAAAAGCGGCAAGAGAGACGCGGTTCCCATCCAAGAGGGGAAGCACAACAAAGATCTTATCAAGCTCCTTCGTCCATTTAAGCACCGCGGCAGGGTTCTTGGTCCCCGAAAAGCTGGGAGGGTGCATGCCCTGGAATTGGACTAAGATCCTCGAAAAGTCCAGATTCGAATTAGGAAGAGCCTGCTGATGAGGTGGGGATGGAGGCGGGGTTAGTTGCCGGTTGTTGCGGTTGTTGCCAGTGTTGGGACGGGCCATAGTTCTATATTGACTAGGCCGAAATATTGAGCACAATAATAATATTCTAGAGTTCATCATTAAACACTAGAGTCCAAAATAAACCAACGGTGGATGGCCTAAGCCCCATATAAGAAAAGAAAAACAACAAAACTCATACCTCGAGCTGGCGCGGCGAGACGAAAGCGAGTGGTGAAATGGTCATTAAACACACTAACACCAGGGACAGTCTATAGAAACGCAGACTAGCTCTGAAACCACACTGTAACTCCCCGTTTTATTTTAAAAGCATTACAAAATTTATTTATGAAAATCGGAGTAAAATTTTCGCAAAATCTCAAATTAAAATTTAATTCTCAACGGGCGCTACTTATCTATCAAGAACAATTAAACAAAATACGAACACATAGATTTGACTTATACATGCATAAACACATACTCATATAAATTTAAACCAATTTATTTATTAAGTTCCAAAACCAACCAGAAAGTTAAACATAATTCCACAAGTTCAACCAGACAATATCAATGTATCCAAATCAAGCATGAAATAATCAAAGTCAAAAGCAATAGTTCAACGAAATCATAAATTGGCGGAAGCATAGGATAACGAGAACACAATCGACAAATGACCACCACTCGATTGTCTTCACGCCGCCGCCGCCGCCAGCCATACTCAACCTGAAGAAAGGAGGAGGAGACAAGGAGAAAAGTAATGGGGGTGAGCAAACCATTATGCTCACCATTATCGCACAGTATATCCCGCATAAAGATTCAAAACCATAAATAAAGTATGCATGGAATCCAGGTCTATCTCCCTACTCGGCCCTATCGCAAACCTCTTATGTACATACAATAAACCTTCCGACAAAACATCGGCAAGGATGTAATTGAAAACCTTCCCACCTCGAACAACACACGGATCATGGAATCCTTTCCAGGAGACAGTGAAGCTGTTTTTCTCCCCCGAAAAACACACGGGTCAGGGCATCCACCTCCCGACTAGCAACGGGCAGGCGACCTCTCACTGTTTATGCATTCGTCAAAGGCACTATCAATGGGACACCTAGACAAGGGTTCTCACGCATACAACAGCTATCGAGACGAACATTTATACGAAATAACGAGTGCGATAATTATAGATACAACGTAAATGTATCCACCTAAAAGCAGCGACAATTCACAAACAAAGCTCCAAAGTATAGGGTTTGAGGTCAACACCTCGGAACACCTACACTAAATCAAGATAACCTCTCGATTACAACAAGTCCAACGATCACACAAACTTAGTCGAATTCGTCGACTAAGTGGCTCGTAGGATATTCTCGTGGAGTTATGGAACATTCGATTCGACTCAAACCAAAAAGGAAAAACACACCGAAAACCATCTTATAATCTACTCAACCATTTAACATGAAATTCACACCACTTATAAAGCATGCAGAGAGGACATCATATGTTAAAATTAATGCAAAAATTCAAATGTTAACCTATCCAACCAATATTTCGAGCAAATTGACAAGTAAACCACATTTTCTAGTTGAACAGGAAAATGGATGAACTTTGTTTCGAAATTTGGACACACGAAAGACCTCACTGAATACATTAAAACCACCAAGTTTCAGCCATAGCACTTACACATGTGATTTTATAAAATTAAAACAATATTACTGCAAAAACAAGCATGAATTTAAACCAGACCTAACAAACGATTGCAGTCCTCAAATTTTAACATCAACAACGACAGCATGCGAGGTCTAACATATAAAATTTCTAGCTAAAAATAATGAACCCAGGATTTATAACAATTGTTGCAAGATTCAATAGAAATCATGATTTCATCAAAACCCTATCAAAATGAATTCAGTAAATTCCGGGATTTTTATATCACATAATACAACATCAAATGAGCGTCTAAATCGAGTTTCAAACATTTTTAGCAAGGGACCGATTTTACATGATTTAAACAATTTCCAGCAGTAACTTTCAAATAAACATTTACCCTAGCAAATGGATTCAAAAAATTACAAATTTATACAGAATGATAACCCATATCAGAGGAACAACATATTAAAATATCAGAATTTTTGGGTAACAACTCGATTTATCACGAGTTTATAAATAATCAGCACCTACATCACACATAAAAATTCATAAAGGCTACCAAATGACTTCAAACCATGCTAGGCTTCATAACAGAGCCTAAAAACCACATTATGTTCCATTGTCCATCAGGATTTCTCCAGGAGAAGTGAGATCCTTAGGTTTCCAACCTAAACTCAAAGGATCTCATTTAAATAAAACACTTATCAACATTTTGGTACCAAATAAAACATAATATCACATAATCAATTATGGACAGCCCTTAATCTATCATGAACATCACTTGAAAGACATAATAATTAATGGATTTTAGTAGTATACTAAACACCAAGGGGAGACGGCGACACAAGTGCGGTTAGGGATGCGGTTCGGCTCCTACGGGCGGGGAACTCGTCCGCTAGGCGTGCTCGGCATTGGGGTCGGCTCGCACGGTAAAGGTGACGTCTAGAGGTCCTCGGGGAACTCCTTGGTTAGTGCGTGGTGGCCGGAGGTTGCAGCAGGTCGTGGAGGGGAGGACGCGGCGTCGCTGGTGGGTGGGCTCGCGCGTTGTCTCGGGTGTGCGGGCGGGCAGCGGCGGTCGAGGTGCTTACGTTGGATTCTCCGGCGGTTTTTGGGCGAGTTTTTCTGGCGAGAGGAGAGTGAGGGAGAGAGCTTGAGAGGGGGTTGGAGTTTTGAGAGAGAGAGGGGGAAGAAAATGGCGAGAGAGGTGAGGAGAAAGAGGGGAGATACTTACCTTTTATCACCTAAGGAAAGTGGGTGATAACCTCCCTTCAAAATCTGGTCAAAGGGGCATGAATTATGGGATAAGAGCTGGTTTGGAGGGGATTCAAACTTCAAACCAAGACCTTCTAGATGCTTGGTTGCGGGCGGGCCAAAGGAGCCCGGCGGTTGCTACGCGGGCGCGGGTTGGGCGCGAGGAAGGCGCGCGGGCTGAGGCCCGTTTTGCTTGGGCGCGCTCGGTTCAAAATCCCGACTAGCAACGTTTATTCGGTTCGATCGACAATTATAAATAATTTACGATTCGGCTCGATATTAAAAATTTACTTAATAAAACAATTAGACAATCACGAGCACATAATCACAATCGAAATTAATAATCGAGCACGGATAAAATAAATCCAGATAAATAAAATAAATAATAATTCCAAAATAATCCGGAACAAATGGGGCGCTACACTTAGACTTAAGATTTTTATTTCATTTCCGAAATAAAATTCGAATGTTTTTCTCCATGGCTTAGACTTAAGACTTAATAAATTATGCAATTAATAATAAATAAATTTTGGCATAATTATGAACTTACTATTTTTTTGGGAAATAATTAATAATATATAGAAACTGGTTCGGGGCTTTTCAATAATGTTTATATGATGTATTGTATCGATTATTTACGGTCACTATGTCCTAGTGCGCTGGGTTGATGATGTCCTCGAACTGAGCTCAGTAAGGAATATTATGTCGAGCCCTTTAGGTGGATGTCTATCCGACATTATGATTAAGGATCTGAATGGTACTAGTTTTGGAAATGAATAAGAAGTTGATTAATTATTTTGTCAGTAAATTGTTTAATCAACGGACTCTATATCTTTAACATAGGGAAGTAAGTCGATCAATTAGTTTCATATTAATTAATCAAGTGGAGGTTCGAATTTATTGAATAAATTGGAGCTAAATGGGGAGAGGAATAATATTACTCTAGTAGAATGTTATATTATTTAATTCTGTTTAGGAATTAGGAATTAATTATTTTTCATTATTTAATTCCTTAAGAAGAGGAATATTCCTTCTAGAATATCACCCTAGGATTAAGAGATTTTGGAGTCTTCCAGAAGGGTAATTAGGTTTAGAAGGAATAATACTTCTAGTAGGGAAAGGATATGGAGGATGATTAGGTTTCCTTAAACCTAATAGGATAAGCCCATATTTAGCACCTCCTTAAGGTCCCTAATGTAGCCTATAAAAACACCATGTCCCACCTCTCCCTAATGCATGTTAGCTCGATTTTAAGGTTCCTAAAGGAAGAGGAAAATAGTGTTCTTCATATATTTGAGAGTTCGGGAGTTTTGATTAATCGCCCCATAAGATTATTCGAAGTAGGCGTAAAGGTCATACATTAGAAGGCTTTAAGGTACAATATTTATCGAGCCTTTAATGTACATATATATATTTCGGCGACTAGCCGCCGGAGCCACCATCCACCGCCGCCGCAAGCTGCTGCGGGAGTTCATCCGCAGCCGCGTCCCTGGCCGTTCCCAGCCGCAATCAGCCCGCCTCTTCAGCTCAGGGCCTTCTCGAGTGCTTTCTTCGGGGTCGCGGTGGGTTTGGAATCAGTGTGTGCTTCTGGGCTCGGCTCGGAGGTCGGTTTTTTCTCTAGGTGTGGGGTGGATCTCTGTTAGCCGTCACCAGCTTGGTGAATGGAGTGGCTATTTGTGCGCACAGAGCCAGGGAAGGGGGGTGGGGTGACCGCGCGTCGCAACGCGGCAAATTTAAATTTATAAAAGTTTTCCTCAACTAACCTCTACTAACTAGTATTAGTGGCGAGTAAGGGTCGATCCCATGAGGAGCAGGAATCAAATTGTGACAATTCTCGTATTAATTGAACTTAAACTAAGAAAGCAGTAAAATGGGGGGATTGATTTTATAAAAGCAAAAATAAAAATAATAAAATAAAATAAAATAAGAGAAGTTCTAGTTTTCGGTTCTGTTATCACCCAATCTAAATCTACCGTTAATTAATTTCGACGCCCTATTTAAATCGCTAACGAATTACCGACCCTAGCTAACAACAAGCTCTGTTAACCGAATTTTCCCTTACCGAATATTTAATCGAAATAGGCTCTTCGACTAAACCTAACTAGTGGACAACCTAGAATAAACTAGATTTAATACACTAGTAATTCCTAGGAAAATAGATCAGTCTAAGCAATGGACGCAAAAGCTCGGACCATTTAACTTATGTTCACGCTACCCTAGAGATGCACGATCCCTAGTTTACTACTAACGAAACGAGACAATAACAATTATGGATTAAAGCTTCGAATCTAGCAATTAAACTATGGATATTCAACCTAGCTGGCCAAACCAAATCAAACACCATAACTCATAAACACGATACACAGATAACAGGAATCAACTCATCAACATAAATAAACACGGCGTCTTAATTAACCAACAATAAAAATAAAAATCCTTCAATTCATAGACAAATCAAAGTTAGGGTTCAAACAACCCCTAAAACTGGATAAAAATACTAGTCTAACATACTAATAGAAATAAATAAAAGATAGATAAAAGAGAGAGATTAGTTATCTCCCTCGTGTGCCAGTGCGGCTTCCCTCCGCGTGCGTAGCTCTTTTTCCCTTGCGTGCGTCTCTTGTGCCGCTGCGTCTTTTTTTTTCTCTGCCCAGGCGTAAAAATAAATCTGCTCCCCCGTTTTTTTTCTTTTATCCCGTGGCAAATAATTCACTTTGTTAAGTCTCTCAAAAGTACTACCAACCAATCATACGTGAGTGCTGCTATGTCTTGGAAAATAATTTAAAGTTACCTCAAGGAATCAAACTCCTCCCAGCACCCTAAAGTGAGACTCACATTTTTCTTCTTTTATCATTAAATTGCCATGAACTCCAAATAATCAGCCCACCTTTTCCCCCGTAAGACCACCTATTGGGCCATTTTAATCCATTCTTGTGCCCCAACTGATGGATGTTGGTCGATAATTTATCACGTGGACTTCCGTTCAATGCCTCGCGTACACAAAATATTCCAACGAGCTGAAATTAAATATAAAAATATCAATGTATATGAATCTATCTAAATAATAAATAAGTCGAAAAAATATAAACGTGCAAATAAATAAAGTGTATAAAAATACACTATTAAATATATAAAACGTGCACATTTTTTGACCTACCAAATCTCCCCAAACTTAAACTGTTGCTTGTCCCCAAGCATATTAAAACTATAAGCACATATATGGATATAAACAAGTACGTGGAATATATGCTCAGGTCCTCACACATCTCACATAATGCATAGCTACAACTTCCCAAATTAATAACCCCAGATTCGAAATGAAATCATCTTTAGAACGCCAACAATCAAATATCAATTTAGTGAATTACCGCAGCTCATCAATCTTTTCACCAAGTATATCAATCATGCAACTAATGATACCCTTTTCTTTGCCAACCGGTTTGGTTCCTCTTTGCTTCTAGCCAGAAATCAAAAGTCTCGATATTTTTTTTTTTTTTTTTCTTTTTTTTTTTTGGGAACGGCAGCTCCGTCACAGTCCATGGTATTTAGCTATTCGTGCGAGAGTTATGCACTAAAGCTTCACAGACTGGCAGCTGTTGCAGCCCACAATCAATTTTTTTTTCTTCTTCTTCTTCTACAATACCCATTATTTTCTCCTCCACATTCATTATTCACACCACCATTTTTTTTATTTTTTATTTTTTCCGAGACAATCAATTCCCAACTTTCCACGTCAAGTTACCTCACACAATCGACATCAAGTAGAATAGTCACCAGCACATTTCAAGAATATAAATAGTTCAAGACCAACTCACTACAAATAAAACACATAAATATCAATCGTCATGTTTTTGTTCCTCAAATAACAACACTTCAAGAATTTAACCAGAAATCATTAACCTAAGTCATCATAAACTAGCATTTAATTCCAACAAAGCCTCTCATATCATCATTGCAAAATTCCACATACAAGTAAGCTCATACCCAAACAAATCAAGAGAGTATATATAATAATCCACTACATAAACCTCTCACAGTAATACACTTCCCCAAACTTAAAGTTTGCACATAAGAGAATGAAATAGGAAGTAAAAGGAAAGAGTTCACCTTATCAAGAGAGGAAGTTGCGTCGCACAGCATTGGGTTGCCTCCCAACAAGCGCCTTTTGTTAGTATCGTTCGCTCAACTTATTGCTCCGCTTTCTTCAAGCGGTCCATGGCGGCTTCATAGGTGGCCTCAAAGGAGGCATGAACCTTGCAGCTCCATGCTTGTGAAGTATCCCCTCGTTCCGTGTCGGGTGCTTGACCGGATCTTTTCGTCTAGGTGGTAGTACATCATAGCAAAACATTAGCCCGGGATCATGGATAAGAGGAAAAATCTCAGGCACTTCAAGGATGTAAGGCTCTTGATTTTCAACATGCTCGGTTGCTGGTTGTTTGAACTCGGATAGAAGAGATTGATTTTCAGTCATTCTCGGGGCAATTGTCGGAGCTTTTACGTCATTTTCACCTTCGAGTGGGCTGTTATCGGAGGCCCCGATAGCAGTAGTAAATGCTACCAGGTTTTTATCGGGGGGGCCGGTAGCAGGGAAAATTTGCTCCTTATCACCTTCTTCTTCATTCTCTTCGTCGCTTCGATCGTTTATCGGCTCAAAGCTAACTTCATCCAGCACCTCAAGCTCCGTATTGCTGCTCGTCCTAAGCTCTCCGTCATCATCGTGGCTGGCTTCGGCTAGCCGACTCTTGGCTCGGGAATCCAATTCGCTCAATACATCTCCAATCTTTTTGCTACTAGCCATCAAGGAATTTTGACACTCTTCAAGTAACTTCATCAACGATGGACTAGTCTCTTGTTCAAGCGAAGGTTCTGAAAAATATTGTGAGCCTCCATAGTGGAATTGGGATTCGTCGTGCTCATAAGTAGGCTCATATGATCGAGAGTATTGTGGATTTTCATCGAATGAATTTCCACGATCTCCCCAACCGTAATGGTCCCTGTCGAAATTTTAATACGCCCAATCGTCTTGTCGATACCAATCTATCTCGGTAGCTCTGCGTGCACCATACCTCTCGATCAAAAGTGGACAATCGTCGGTGACGTGACGTGTGGTATGACATAGACGACATGGTTTCCTTAGAACTTGACGAACACTCTCAATGGCTTCTTGGATCATAGCCGACATCCTAGCCTCACGATGTTGGTCTCTTATTTCCCTCTTTTTCATTTCATAATATGAATCGTAAGCGTAAGCACATTCCGAGCTCCAATACGCATCCATTTATAACAAGTACCACCTGTAAAAGAAACCAAAAGGAAAAAGAAAAATAGGGGGATTAAAAGAGTCAAAGAAAAAATAAAATAAAATGAAAACTAGTCTAATTACCTAATTCAATTAATACTAAAAAAAATCACAACTCAATTGCACCACTCCCCGGCAACGGCGCCAAAATTTGACCGCGCGTCGCAACGCGGCAAATTTAAATTTATAAAAGTTTTCCTCAACTAACCTCTACTAACTAGTAGAAGTGGCGAGTAAGGGTCGATCCCACGAGGAGCAGGAATCAAATTGTGACAATTCTCGTATTAATTGAACTTAAACTAAGAAAGCAGTAACATGGGGGGATTGATTTTATAAAAGCAAAAATAAAAATAATAAAATAAAATAAAATAAGAGAAGTTCTAGTTTTCGGTTCTGTTATCACCCAATCTACCGTTAATTAATTTCGACGCCCTCTTTAAATCGCTAACGAATTACCTACCCTAGCTAACAACAAGCTCTGTTAACCGAATTTTCCCTTACCGGATATTTAATCGAAATAGGCTCTTCGACTAAACCTAACTAGTGGACAACCTAGAATAAACTAGATTTAATACACTAGCAGCATTAATTCCTAGGAAAATAGATCAGTCTAAGTAATGGACGCAAAAGCTCGGACCATTTAACTTATGTTCACGCTACCCTAGAGATGCACGACCCCTAGTTTACTACTAACGAAACGAGACAATAACAATTACGGATGAAAGCCTCGAATCTAGCAATTAAACTATGGATATTCAACCTAGCTGACCAAACCAAATCAAACACCATAACTCATAAACACGATACACAGATAACATGAATCAACTCATCAACATAAATAATTACGGCGTCTTAATTAACCAACAATAAAAATAAAAATCCTTCAATTCAAAGACAAATCAAAATTAGGGTTCAAGCATCCCCTAAAACTGGATAAAAATACTAGTCTAACATACTAATAAAAATAACTAGATAAAAGAGAGAGATTAGTTATCTCCCTCGTGTGCCAGTGCGGCTTCCCTCCGCGTGCGTAGCTCTTTTTCCCGTGCGTGCGTCTCTTGTGCCGCTGCCTCTTTTTTTTTCTCTGCCAAGGCGTAAAAATAAATCTGCTCCTCCTTTTTTTTTCTCCCCCGTTTTTTTTCTTTTATCCCGTGGCAAATAATTCACTTTGTTAAGTCTCTCAAAAGTACTCCCAACCAATCATACGTGAGTGCTGCTATGTCTTGAAAAATAATTTAAAGTTACCTCAAGGAATCAAACTCCTCCCAGCAACCTAAAGTGAGACTCACATTTTTCTTCTTTTATCATTAAATTCCCATGAACTCCAAATAATCAGCCCACCTTTTCCCCCGTAAGACCACCTATTGGGCCATTTTAATCCATTCTCTGGCCCCAACTGATGGATGTTGGACGATAATTTATCACGTGGACTTCCGTTCAATGCCTCGCGTACACAAAATATTCCAACGAGCTGAAATTAAATATAAAAATATCAATTTATATGAATCCATCTAAATAATAAATAAGTCGAAAAAATATAAACGTGCAAATAAATAAAGTGTATAAAAATACACTATTAAATGTATAAAACGTGCACATTTTTTTACCTATCAGGGAGGTGGCGCAGGCTCTTCAAGGGTTGTCTCACGCTCTCGGCTCGCACTATGGTGTTTTGGAGTTTCTTGTTAGCTGCTGGGAAGAGCTTTATTTTATCGCTTGTTGTAGTATTTTTCTTTTCAGTATCTTGGTGTTAGTTTTGTGGGCTCTATGTGTTTTTCAATGTTTATTTTGGTGTTTATGTGTTATTCTCCTATTAGGAGTTAGATTCTTTAATGAGATAATTGTATTATTGTTGGTGAGTTATGATAGTGTAGGCTTCTCTTTGGATTGTCCTCCCACTAGATTCAACAGTATCGCTGCTTGGCTATTCTGACTTTTGTCTATATATATATATATATATATATATATATATATATATATAGAAGTGCACTCAAATGAGAATGAGTCACAGTGAAAGAAATAAGAATAAATGTAAACCTTTAGATGTAACAAATTAATGGTCATGATGGAATCAAAGTTAGTAATTAAAGTCAAACTCATTAAGGGTAATTTAGTCATTCAACACCCATTAAGGGTATCTTTGTAATTAACAATAAAACCTAATCACTAATGGGCCCCACCACAACAACCACACATAAATTTCTCTCTCTCTCTCTCACAAGGACACACAGTAACACACACTAAACTCACGCCACACACACATACACACACACCACACACACTACATCAACGGTCAGATCCGCCGGCCCTCTAGCCGGAAACCGAATCGCCACAAACCGCAACAAACTCCTCAGCTTCCGGCGAAGACCTGCAGCATGGAAGAGGCGAAATATATGGCCCGACTATGGAATTATTTTTCCGGCGGAAGAGGCGGAGGGCGATGAACAATGGAGATCTGACGTCGACGGTGAGTTGGCAGCGGTCGACGTCAAGGAAGGAGAGATAGGCTTCAAGCACCCCGTCTCAATCTGAGATGCTGAACGCCGGCGATCTGGTGGGGGAAGGTGCACAGCGATGGTCGGCGGGCAGAGGATGGCGAGAGGATGGCAGCGTCAGCACGTCGGGATCAGTGGACAATGAACAAGGGACAACAGGAGGAGCGAGCTACCGCTGACGGTGGAGAACCGGCCGAATCTGTCTCAGGCGGCGGTCGAGGGCGACGTCAAGGCGAGGGCGGTGGAGATGCGGACGCCGGACCTCAGGTAGTGGTGGTCGGCGGTGGACTGAAGATGAGCAGAGATCTGACAACATGTTTTGGGTGTGGGGGCTTCACTTTGAGAATTTGACAAATTGAAAAGACCCATTTGCAATTTCATCAATTTTTATTATATTACATTTTATTCCTTGGGTTAAAAATACTAAATGCAATTTCATTAATTTTATTATATGAATTATAAAAATACTAAATGCACAATATCGTTTAATAAAATGCACAATAACAATACACGAAATGCACCATAGTGTGTGATGATATACACGTTAAAAAAATATTATATTATTATGAAATTACATAACCGTAATCGCCTACATATTTAAAAGTTTATAAATTTACCAATTAGCCCACAATATACTAAAATATCATAATCGAAATTATCGAGTTGAGATTTTGGGAAAAAAAAGACTTTTTTTTTATTTAGGTATATGGTGCATTCTTGCAATCAGTAACGTGCAATTCATATAACACTATTGTGCACTCATACATTTTTTAATGATTTGTCCCAAACCAATCTAAAACATAACCAAAATAATCGATTTGTTTGATCGGTTGAAAAATTACTATAAATATTCAACATAATTTATTATTTATATTATAAAGATATATTGAGTATTTTAAATTTTATATTTAATATATTTATATTAGTTTTTGGTTAAAATCAAATTATGTGCATTCCTATGGACACTGATGTGCATTTCGTGTAACATTATTGTGCAACCTATTGTGCAGATTTTATTTATTTATTTATTTATCTATTATTTTGCGTAATTCAATTTTAGACAAGCTTAATAATGTGTATTTCAAAATTGGCATTACTGTGCAGTCTTATATACACTAATGTGCATATTGTTCAACATTATTATGCAGAATATGATTTGTGCATTTTGCAAAGTTGATTATTTAATTCCAGTGTTTTTTATTCATTATTTTATTTTATCTTTATATTTTTTTAGCATTTTACATTTTTTTAACCTTTTAATTTATTATTTTAATATATATGTATAAAAAATATAAAAAATAATATTTTTTTATATTATTTTTGTAAATTACAGATTTAGCCCAAGTACTCAATTGAAATAGAATCAAATTTCGTGAAATTGCGATTAAGTCCCTGCACATTATCAAATTCTCAATGAAAAACCCCACAATTCTCCTTCACTTCCACCATAATTCCCGCTGGTGAATCGCCGATGCCATGGAACTTGCACAACAACGACGGCGCCGACGAGTCGCATAGACGGGACACAGCGGCGGCGATGGGCGTTCTCAGGCGGCAAAGAGCGGAGGCGACGCTGGCATTTTCGGTATGTACGACGTCGCGTGAGGTGTGGTGATGACGCTGGCATTCTCAGCTACCGGAAAAATACAAGGCTGAAAAATTTCCGACGGGATCGACGCTGTGGTGACGGTGTCAGTGTGGAGGCCGTCATCGGCGAACAGATGGCGGTGACAGATGAGATGGACGAACATCGGCGCCTGTTGTTCCTGCTGGCCATGCGGCGGCGACGGGTGGTGCGCCGGTGGGAGGACTTTACTGTTTATGTGTGTGTATTTCTGTGTGCAGGTGTGTGCGTCGGTTTGTGTGTGTTTTGTGTGTGTGTGTGTGTGTGAGAGAGAGAGAGAGAGAGAGAGGTGAGAGACAGAGAGACGTGAATCACTTGATTGAGATTGAGAGTTATTTGTTAGTGGTGTGGGACCCACGTGATGGAGTAGGTATTAAAAAATTACTTTATTGTCCTTACTTAATGCTAAGATGTATAATGCTAGGTGTTTTTTATCCGCTGGATCAGTCAATTTGATGGCCAAGATATATTCTTATTTCTTTCATTGAGAACCATTCTCACTGGAACGCATCCCTATATATATATATATAGAGTTGGGATCATATGAGAATGGTAGATAGTGAAAGAAGTGAGAATAAATTCGTACCATTGGATTCAACATATCAATGGTTACGATCTAGTCAAAATTAAATATGGCAGTCAGACTGACGGTGGCAATTTCGTAAATAAGAGTTTATTTCATGATCAAAAAATACACATCAACCACTAAATAAGGGCATAAGGGTAACTACTCATTCATATTAAATTCTAAGTGGGCCCACCACTACCACCAACCAACATACATTTCTCTCACATCTCCCTCTCACAACGACGCACATCTCCCCCCTCACACCGACGCACACATATCTAACGGGTTGCACAATCTCGGTCGGCGATACCTCCACCGCTGCCAACCGCCGCCTGATTCCCCCTGCCAACACCCGCTGTCGACTGCCAACGCCAGATGCCGACGGCCACCCGTTCGCTGCCGCCGGCGCCCGCTACCGACAGCCACCATCTCGTTGTCTATCCACCATCCGCCAGCCGTACACTACCCGCCGCCATCTCCTTCAGTCTGCAACTCGCCGTTCGCCACAAAACTCACGCCGTTGAACAAGAGTGAATTCAGGCCAAAGATGTTGCTTATGAGAGCTGTCATGGAGATGACCTCGTAGGGATAGGAGAAGAGGGCGGAGAAGCTGTGATCTGAAGACGGAGGCGGCGGAGGCAGCGGCGGCGATGGCCGGAAGAGACGTCCAGTACGGAGATGGAGGTGGAAATATGATTGCAGAGTTTTGTAAATTAAATTGGGTTATATTTTTTAGAATTAGACAATCATGGAGGACTTATTTGCAATTATTGAATTCTAATATATTTGCACATGGCATGGGTCAATATTTGTACTATAATAATATGAAAAAAATGCTAAGCATTACGCGATGATATGCATTTTAAAATTATTGTTAACTTATTAGGTGATTAAATATTCTTTCTTAAAATTAATCCGGTCATATTGTGCAATCTAATAGTCATTAATGTGCATTTGGGCAACTCTAGTGTGCACCCACTATACATAAAAAATACACTATTAATAATAATAATAATAATAATAATAATAATAATAATCGTTCAATCGGCAATAACGGAACATTTGTCGCAAATCAAATTGAAAATGAACATAATTAATTGATTTATTCGGTTTTGTTAGCCGAATTGTCATAAATAATCGAAAAAAATTATTATTTATATTACAATTATATTTAATATATTATAAAATTACTTATTTTTTATTTTATTTTTTGTTGAAAAGGTTGAGTACAGTCGGTTTCGATCTCTAATGTGCAACACTATAAAGTGAAATGTGTTGTTTTGTAAAGTGCAACGTATTGTTTTATAATGTGCAACGTGTTGACATATAAAGTGAAATAATGTAATTTTAGTACGTTATCGTGCGGGTTTTTTTGTGAAAAAATGATGTGATTGGTGTTAAATTATTATGTTTTATACGTTATCGTGTTGTTGACGTTAATTGTGGAGCGTGTTGATATAACATGCAACGTGTTGTTTTTTAAAGTGCAACATGTTATTTTATAAAGTGTATCGTGTTGATATATAAAGTGCACTAGTTTATACAATCGCATATAAATCATGTGTTTATGAAAATAGATTTAGTCGATATAATTGAACATCAAATTAACCTAAATAATCGAAATAATTTATTATTTATTATTATAAAAGTATATATATTATTTTAATATTTTTTATACAGTATGAAAGTATATGTAGTATTTTAATATTTTATATTTATTTTTTCTTGAAAAATACATAATATATATATATATATATTTGTATAAAAAATACTATTTTATATATATACATAATACTATTTTTTATATATTTTCAAAAATTATACATTTGACCCATAGACTAAATTGAAATATAATAAAAATATAAATGTGGTTTATAGAGTAATTAGTCAAAGATTTGGTATAATTCCCTCTGGCTACTTTTTAATTACTCAATTACTAAACACCTCACCATTTTACTAATACCGCACCCTAAAACGACAGTTTTGCCCTTTAATCTTATTTTAAAAAAAAAATAATGTCCCACCTTCTAACCTATTTATCGGCCGAACCGAGCACCGAAAAATTCCGAAAACACTTTCAAATAATTCCGGCGAAAAAATGCTATCCAACAAGACCGGTCATGCGGCGGTCGACCGGTCAAACCGGCCGCACTAGAACCAAAAATTTAATTTTTTTTTTTTTTTGGAACCGGCCGGTCGCTGATTGCGGCTGAAACTGGACCGGCCGAACTCTGATTGCGGCCGCAACTCGGCCAGCCGCACGCGGCCGGTAATAGCGGCCGCAACTCGCGCGACCGAGCCCATTTTTATTTAAAAAAAAATAAATTAAATATTTAAAAAAATATATAATTTTTTACTACTATTAATTATTAGAGAAACTGATTAATAGTTATTAAGGCAAGTTGGTACAACATATATAGCTATTCATTGCCTGACATTGAACTTTCTCATTCAATGTGGGATAATTGCAAATCAAAGTTTTCACTCTCCCAACCTTTTATAGCCACTCTTGGCCTTTATTATTGTGTTTGTAATTGATGTGGGATTGTCTCAAACCTTTATAGCTACTTTTTGCATTCTTTTTTTTGCTTTCAAAATCAATGTGGGACTAAATGATCCATGCTTTAACACACTTTCACTATGTATGTCAAGATGAATATCACATTATCATTAATTAAACTTATTATTATCTTAAACTGATAAATGATTAAATTTAACTAAATGAACATGAAAATTGTAATATATTCTAATATATACCATAATAATCTCTAACTTCTAACATAATAGTAATAAACTTTAATTTATAACATAATCAATTCTAATCTATAATACAATAATTTCTAACCTCTAACAAAATAATAATATATTCTAATTGCTTTTCTAACTATTTGTACATATAAATTAATTTGTATTTTTTTTAAATTTTCGTGGTTTTTAATTTTTGTTAATTAAAAAATGTTGAAATATAAAAAATATATTTAAATAATTTCATATATATTATTATATATTTTATAATAAATGAAAAAAATTAATAATTAAGTTTGATTAATAATTAAAATATATTAATAATTTAAATTAATATATATTAAATTATATATATTAATATTTTCATATATATTATTATACATTCATATATATGAATATGTATAATTTAATAATATTAATATATATTTTATATAAATATATATTAATAGAATTAATATATTATATAATATATATTATATTAATATAGTTATTATAAATTATGATAGTATAAAATATAATTAATTATAATGAAAAAAGTATATTAATATGATATGGGATATTATATAGCTGAGGAATAGACCGGTTTGCATCATCGGTCGAGCAACCTCGAAGTGGAGAAAACCGGATTGGGAGAAAGATGATCGACCAAAAAGGAGGAGATCGAGCAGAATAGCAGAGCTGGTCGAGGATCGACCAAAAGGGAGGAGATCGAGCACTCAACAGGTGAAGAGCAGTCTAGGGCGTGGCTTGAACGCGAGAAGGCGCGTGGATGACGTTAGAAGATCTCAACGGCCTGCGCAGAATAATAATCTCCCTCAGCTCAGAGGGACACGTGGCGAGAATATATTGGTGCAGAGTGATAGTGGCGAAAACTACCCCTGACATCTCTGACACACGTACACTATGTGTGTACGGACGGGCAGTACGGGCAGGACAGCTCACCAAAAGCAGGGCAGTTTTTAGGGCAGGTATCTCACTCCTATATATATGGGAGTGGGTCTTTTCTTGTAGCCTACGATTTATCCATTCTTTACTTTGGAAAATTGAACAAACACATACTGACTTAAGCATCGGAGGCTCTTCACCGGAAAACCCCTCCGGTGTGAGATATATAATATATTATAAAATATATACTTTTTTAATATAAAAATGTAATTAATATATTAATTAATAAAATAATATTTTTTGATTATATAATCATACAAACTAATTAATTAATAAATTTTACATTTTTTTCAACTTATATTACAATACTAATTATAATTTCACTAATATATATATATATTAATTACAAATAACACCTTTATTAATAAATAACATATTTAATAATAATAATAATAATAATAATAATAATAATAATAATAATAATAATAAATTATACATTTTTCTAAATATTTAACACATATTATATCATTTATAAAAAAAATGAAAGTAGGATGATAAGTGCAGTTTCATTTATTTTGTAAAAACCATAATGTTTTTCCATATTTCATGTTCATTTAGTTAAATTTAATCATTTATCAATTTAAGATAATAATAAGTTTAATTAATGATAATGTGATATTCATCTTGACATACATAGTGAAAGTGTGTTAAAGTAGGGATCATTTAGTCTCACATTGATTTTGAAAGCAAAAAAGAATGTAAAAAGTAACTATAAAAGGCTAGAGACATGGGACAATCCCACATCGATTACAAACACAATAATAAAGGCCAAAAGTGATTATAAAAGGTTGTGAGATTGAAACATTTGATTCACAATTATCCCACATTGGATGAGAAAGTCCAATGAAAGGCAAAGAATGACTATAAATATTGTAGCAACTTGCCTTAACAATTACTAATTGGTTTCTTTGATATTTGATAATATTAAAAAATTATATAGTTTTTAAAATATTTAAATGTAATTGCGGCCGAGCCAGTGGTGGCCGCAATTAGCGGCCGGCCGCGCGAGAATTGCGGCCGGCCAGCAGAAAAACAAAAAAAAAAAATTAAAAATTGAAAAGGATAAAATTGTCTTTTTTGGGTGCGATATTTAGTAAAAAGGGGTGCGATATTTATTAACACTCTTTTAATTATGGCAACCCAAAACATTACTCTGTATTACTATTATTTTACAAATTTAATAATATGGAAAAAGAAAATTAGTAGATTCTGATTGTGAGCATTAAATTAAAAAGCAAAAACTCATCTCAATATCCCATTTTCCTATTTTCCCCAACTTCTACCGTTTCGTTTTCCTCCATTAAAAACCATAGCATTAAATTAAAAAGCAAAAACTCATCTCAATATTTCATTTTCCTATGTTCTCAGCTCCCACCTTTTCATTTTCCTCGATTAAAAACCATAGCCTCCAAATAAATAAAACAAAAAGATACGACTTGAATTTGCAATTAGATCCTTTGAGACTATCAAATTCTCATGAAAAAGCCCCAACCCCCCATATTCTGTTCTCCCGGCAGCTGAACCATCCGCGGCTGCTTCGCTCGGCCGCACGCACAGGTGCCGGCTCAGATGACTGCCGCGGTGTGCAATGCCATTGGCGGCGGCGGAACGTGGCTGAGTTCCACAGGTAGAGGAAGGCGCGGCGGTGGGTCGGCGAAGCCGGTGTGGATAGTCCGGAAAGACGGCTCGTCCGACGGGGATGACGCCGGCGAAGGGGGACGGCGCGGGCGACGGGGCACAGCCGGATGTGTTTCTGCGCGGAGGTCAGCTGGCGGCGGCGACGATGCTCCGACGGGCGGTGTGCGAGTAAGACCCCGGCGACGGCTGTGGTGGGACGGCCGAATGTGTTTTTGTGTGTGATAATTGTGTGTGTGCTGAGTGTGTGACTGTGCGTGTGTGAGAGAGAGGATAGAGAGAGAGGGGGAGAGAGAGTGACGTGATTGGGGTGTGTTGTTTTTATGGTGGGGCCCACATGTTATTAATTGGTTGTGTATGTTATAATTACCAACTTACCCTTAATGAGTGTGAAAAATAAGTATTTTTTTAGCCATTGATCTAATGGCTACGATTTATTTTCATTTCTTTCACTAAGTACCATTCTCATGTGAGCGCGACCATATATATATAAATATGTGTTTTTCTATTTAGTATCGTTTGAAAAAAAAAATGGCATTCGAAAACACCGGGACCAACAAGCCATCCCCATTTCTTAGTGAACATGCAAACTCCGACCATAAGTTTGATTCGATACTGTCTTGAAACTAATCAAGAAAAGGAAAGAAAATAAAATGCAGTCCATCGAATAAAAGTCTACATATTTATAGAATCCAGGTTTAGATTGTACATTCATTGGATGGAGTCTACATATTTATAGAATCCAGATGAAAGATTCATAGAATCAGTGGGGGAATATACAAAAGGAAAGGAGTCATTTCATGATACACTGCCCTTCTATTTATGATAAACAAAATGGTACATTGCAAGCTCACCTCAAATCCACCACATCTAACTTTAAACTTGGATTGAAGTAAACATGGGAACACTGCTCGTAAATGGGATTTCTGTCTCCGAGTTCTTCGTGAGGGTGGAAACCACGTTGCTCACAGTTGCGAATAACAGCAACCCCAACGGGATCAGTAAGACGAAATATACCATGCGGACTGGAAAAACAAAAACAGATTTAGAAGAAAAGTTATATTAGAGGTTTAGCTTAATTAAAAAATTCAGTAATATTTTAATATTACAAACTCTCTATCCCACATCTTTTATGATGTACAAACACCCGTTTCCGAAATTGTATATAGTGGTAAACACCCGCCGATATAAGATGCAATTTAAACAGTAGAAACAAATGTTGACTGGGAATTTGCAACTTTGACAATAGCTTTTCTTTTTGCGGAAGGATTAAAACCTGAAGGTCACTTTGTCTGTTTGTAGCCCTAAAAATGATTAAAAGAAGGAAACGAAAGAATACTAAAGGTTCAAAGGTCAAGCAAATCAAGTAGAGCTCAAAAGTACTTCAGTTCAATTAGCTTGATATTCACAACCATATTCTGCTACTTGTACAAATTGACCGAGCATGAACAAGGACTTTATATTTAAGCAACTGAAAAAAAAATATATATATATGTAACAAAACAAGGTCAAATGATCTATCTCCTCTACCACATCTAGTAATTTGGTATGATTACAGAGCACTACATGCATAACTACTACATGGAGCATAAGCATTACTACCTTGATGTGTCAGTCGGAGCCATGACAACTGCAATTGCTTCCGGTAACATGACCTTTACAAATAAGGAGGAAATTCATTAGAGTACATGTGAACGAGTATGACCTGTTACGAAGATGCTATGCCACACCAGGAAGAAAAACAGAAGCAAATATAAGTAAAAAATTGTAGAGATGTTGAGTCATTCTTCTTGGTGAGCTGTCCGCTAGTTTGGCCTTTTTTTTAATTAGTTTTTCCAGCGAATTCCTATTTTTTGCCCTGTGCACAGTTTTTTCTACAAAAATATTGTGTGCATCATGTTGTTCTAAGAAGCTGATTGAGTATAGTTTAGCCCGTCTCACGTATTCATATGACAAAATTTGAAAATATTAAATGCTTAAGCTAAGTACGATGAAATTTAATTGCTAAAAAGTGAATGTGATCAATCTTTTCAGGCCCAAAAAACAGAAAAAGTTAATATTCATTTGGTTTATATCTTATCACACAGATATCTTGCATGACATCTGAGAAATTCCAAAGCCAATCTTGATCATATGTAACACATGCATACTCCTGAATCATACAGCCAAATATGCAAGCTTGGCCTTAAAATGCTATGTAAAATGGATTAAGCAAACCAAGGTAAACAAAATACACTAGTTATTTAGCCCTTGGGACAATCAAAGTTATATCTTTCATGAAAAAACCTTTTACTTCAATCATGTTAAAAAAAATAAAAAATAAAAAATATTTCCTATTCTGCTTTCCAGACAGACAGAAACTTTTTACAGAGTGCATCACATTTATACCTGATACGAATAATGAGTGTGCAGATCAACCGAAGACATAAAACATGTTTGAGTTGGATGAGTCTGCAAGTCAAGAAAAAAATCATCAATTACGGACGCTAAAAGATGAATAGAAGCATTATTCTCATATGCACAGCATTGATACTCATCTCCTTTTTTGCTTTAAATAGCAGCTAGATCAAGTTACAAAAGATAAACCAATTTTAAATTCAAACACCAACAGGACTCAATATAAACAGACAGTTTCCGCAATCAAGAATCAGAGATGAAGTTCATGATAGTTTGCAATAAGTCCCATATATCAAGCAGACACTGAAACAGAGAACACTGGAAATAAGACAATTCTGTGGTGCTCATGCATGTTCAGAAAATCAAGACATTAGTTAAGCAAAACAGTAACACAATAAATCATGCTGCTCAGGACAGTAAGTGGAGTCCAAACTCCTAAAAGCTAAAAGCTAGAAGTATCACAAACATGAAGTCAATTGAGACCAGATTCCCAGAAGCTAAAGATTAGCAAAAAATATAAAAAAAAGGAATGCAAAACGCAAATCAGGACACCTTCACTATTGATATAATATTTACTGATAAATGCAGGAACGGTTCCAGAGATATAGACTGTTAATGACGTTACTGCAGCCAAATGATGCCAAGTAAGAAAAAATGTCTCACTCAAGCTAAGACTTACGTGGATCCACCCAAGAGTAAATAGAGAACGACTGTCTTGAACATAAAAGATTTCTTCTTCATTCAGTGTCTGGCACTAAAAATCAAAATGGAAAACTTTAGCTATCAACTCTAACTTCAGTTGACATGAAAATATGTGATCACATTGCACCGAAAGAAGATATATATTCATAAACAAAATCATATATGAATCAGCAGGTACATCTTCAATGAAGAACTGAGAGAAGTATAGAAAGATTATTAAGAAGAAAAAATAGATGATGTTAAATCCACCTATATCAGACAAAGTGTGTAATGTTGTGCTATATTAATCAACAAGCTCTTCCAGTGTAGAACTACAGACTTGGCCAAAACATTTATCAAGGAAAAGAACTTGAAATATATACGAAACAAAATTTCCCACTTTAGAAGAACGTTTGCAGGGCAGAGATGCACATTACCGAGTTTGAGGTTGACTCCTGCTTAGGAATTATGAGTGTAGTAATGTGAAATACTTTATCCCGCTGCATCCAGTCAGATACGTAGTGTTAGAGCCACAAAGTTAAAATAGTGAAATGGTCAATCTTCTATTCCAATCTTTTTCGCTCCTATTAAGAAGCAATAAGAAGAACAGAATTCATACAAGTGAGCCAGCAAGAACACCACAAGTTTCCAAGTCTTCTGCAGTATTCGTTCGTGCCAACCTCAGAAAATCTTCCATCATCTTAACTGGCTGAAACATAATCGACATATAGGCATCAAATGCTCGCAAAAGGAATTAACATGTCTCAAACTGTTCACCCAATAAAGATAAAAAAAAAAAAAATAGAGTCCTCAATGTCAACTTATGGATCAACACGAAAGACTCACAATATGAACATCATGGTACGACCGTGAACCGGATAGCCCACCCTCTGAAGTAGAACTTTCCCAAGAAACTTTGTAGGGATATACTTGAAGTAACTTAGTTTGCACTTGGGCCAGTATAGGAGGTGGGGTGGGTTGTCTAATACTACCCAACTGAAGATCATGGTTCTTTATATCATGCTTTAGTGGAGGACCATATTTTTCAGAAGGATGTAACCATCTCCTATCATCTAAAGATAGAAATGGCTCTGTGGTTGGCTTCTCCTCTTCGAGGTCACCATCATCAACTGCAACAAGGTCATCTTGTCCAACCTGACTCACACTATAAAAATAGTGACAAATTATTGAACTGTTATTCGGGTAAAGAACAAACAGAAAAATAAAAATACCATTAAAAGAAAATTTTTCTGATTTAATCTATCCGACTACAACTGTACCACCAGAATTTGGAGAGAACAACACTTATGTGATTCAGAGCATCCCCCACCAGAAATAAAATTCTGAAACAGAAAAACACGATGAGCAAAAACGGAAGGAAAAAATAAATTTGAAGAACAAGAGAGGCTTAGTTTTAGTATGTGCAGAATCTTTACCTTGGAGTTGCACTTGCATCCATGATAATGTCGGATTAACCTGGTAATAAATAGATTGACTAAATGATCAATAATGGACTTAAACATGAGACAGAATAACAACGAAATAACACCCCTCTCTATAGGAAAAATTAACACACAAAAGAGATTTAAATTTAGCAGTCAGTCTCACGACCTTAACCTCAGCACTGGCCTCGTCCATTCACCAAAAAGACCACTTGGTCCTAAAAATGACTCCATGGAGAAGATTTCCTGTTATTCATGGCTTAATCCGGGTACCTACCAAATACCAAATACAATGTGCAAATTGAAACAGCACAATCCAATATCTTATACTTGCATTTTGTCCAAATTAAGCTTAACAACAAGACTCTAGATAGAATATCCAACAGACACAGATCGAAAAGGTGGAGAGTTAATTACATTGAGCACCGAATGCAAACTAGACAAGCTCCAGTGATGTAAGAACCACCAAGATATTAAAGGCGACACATCAGGACAAATACTCACCGAGAAAAGTTACATATAATATAGTTGGTGAAGACAGCGCAAGATAATACGTGTCTGAAAGCATTAGCGTAAAAATCTTTTCACCGCATGACGTAATTAGAAACACAACGCATAAAAATATAATCGTAATTAACAAATACAGTAGTTTATTTCATGCTCGTCCAGCTACTTTTACAAATCTGCATTGCATAAAGGAATTGCACATGAACAAACTTGTGTATTTCACTAATAGATTGTTAAGGAGTATGAATGTTGAAAATTAGTGTTCCGCACCTATTTTGTGGGAACATCTTTGCAATTTTGATGAATATACAGGTTTCTCAAGTAGACAAAGAAGAGAAATAAATCAGGGATTAGCATTTTTAGCATCAAAATTATAACTGCCAATTGTAAATATTAACTAAGGTGAATTATACATAACATAAATGTACAAGAGAGAGGCTTCATTCAGTGATCTACATAATGTCTAAATTGACAATAATTATCAAACTTCACAACATAGTAAGATTGCATCCTGTAAAGGTAGGTGATTAAGTACCAACACGTTGATGCAGAAAATATTCTAGCGAACAGCATAAAATGGCTCATAAATGACATGCCCGTAAGGCTACTCGTAGGCAGGCCTAACGGTTAGGTAGTCATAATTTCTCAACAAATACGCATACTTTCATACACAAGTAGCATGTTTTTAAAACAGCATAAGCAAAAGTATGATATTTTTCATAAGTATGCATTTTTGTTAAAAGAGAGTATGACGGGTCGACCCGCCTCTTAGCCGTTTGGCTGCCACACAATAATTTGTGATGACATGCATCACATAATCTCAAAGCAAATGAATGCTCATTAGCATAAAATGATAGAAATAAAGGTGGTTTATGCTCCTTCCAATCGCAATTACTTAACAAACTAACTTCACATAATATAACACCTAAATCACATAATTTCCTATTGTACACATATTCTAAGGCTAAGTCCCCCATGATATTTGTAGGTGAAACTCAAGTACATTCATTATTCAGCTTGAGGAAGGTGAACTGTATACAGTTTCCATGACAAAATAAGGAATCCAGATCAATTACCATTCTTTACAAGGATAAATGACCAAAAAAATTGTCCACAAAAATACAGAGGAGATAGAATTGATAACAAAGCCTGATATAGCACTTCCTACGGAACCATACAGGTGACCTAGCCAAACTTAACCAAAAATCTCGAAATCGTGCTGAAAGAAAATCAAATAAAATCTTTCACCCGAAGATTCTCATTATGTCTGAACAACCCGCTTGAGAAGACAGCCGGCGATGCCTATGATGATTGCAGACACAAATTTGGCCTCCGACGTTGATTTCTCGCGCCATGGCTTTGACATTCAACTCCAGCGCCTTCATTTCAAGCTTGCTGCCGAAAATGGATTCTCCGAGGAGAAGAGCTTTGGGAGTACACAATAACTTATTTTCACAATTTACTTTTTTTCTCCGGCAGGGAGTGTGTTTTTTCCAAGGTTGTTAAAATCGGACCGGTCATCAAACCGGTCAAACTACTGGTTCAATGGTTCATTAGTTGGACCAGTAGTCGAACCGATCGAACCGGTCCAACCGATTTAATTAATATCTAATTTGGGTCAAAATCTTTTTCACCCCGTTATATATCCATTCTTTCTTTTACACACCACCCCGTCAAATAACTTCTTTTATACCCCAAAATTCACGAAATGCTATGCGATATTACACTCGCGTGTCCAAATGAACCAGCGCATATCCAACCGATGCATAATTTATGACTATGTGAAAATATTTCGCATATTTAGGGATCGCATATCCAAATCAAACGCTTAATTTATAAATATGAGAACATCTTTCACATTTTTAAGAATCGCATATCCAAATCGAATGCAATATAATTTACGATGATTATGCGCCTTTTTTTCACAGGGCTATATCGACCTTGCAAATTTATGACTATGTGAAATGTTTCGCATATAATTCGCATAATTTGTTGACTTCGCATTGTTTAGTATTTTCATATCCAAGTCAATCGCATAATTTACTAATATGCGAAAAACTTTCGCATGTATCCAGTATAACGCCGGATAATTGACAATTATGCGACATTTTTTCGCTCGCATATTTAAGAATCGCATAACCAAATCGAATAAAGCATAAGTTATTTGACGATTATGCGCCATTTTTTCGCAGGGTCATATTAACCTTGCAATTTTACGACTATTCGGAATTTTTTCGCATATCTGTCGCATAAGTTACGCACCTCATTAAATTGACTGCTTTTTCACATGTGAGGATTTTGTCTCTGCATTTATCATGCAGACAAAAAACAGTGATCTCTAACAATTTAACGTATGCACTCTGCACCATTCATCTACTGCATTTTTATGTTTCTTTCGTTTTAATTGTTTTTGTTGTTCACTTATTTGAATGGCTAGCAACCGTGTTAAAGTATTCCTGCACTATGGCGGTTCGTTTTCCGAGGGTGGTGGAGTGGCAGAGCTGATGAGAATAAATTACGGCCAACAAATGTATTCTGAAGTAGTTTATCGTGCTCAAGCATTATTAAAGGCCAATCCTTGTAATTTTGAGTACATATTGTGGGCAGTATTTGATGGAAGGGAACGAGCTGTGAAGATGAAAATCGAATCCAGTGACGATATCTTAGAGCTGATTGAAGAACAAGGAAATCCCAACATTTACCTGGAGTTGGAGAAGTGAGTAGATGTAGGGATGCCGGGGACGGCGCACAAAGCTTCACGCAAATGATGGCATCCCAAGGTGTACTTCCTAGTTCTTTTGGTGTTGGTAGTTCTGCATTTTCTCACGAGGCCCCATATTCATATCAAGCAGGCCCTAGTTCATTTACACATATTGGATATCCTCGATCATCACGTCGAGTACGGCGTCAGCAGATGTGCTCTCAGTGCGGGGTCACCGGGCATAACAGGGCGAAGTGCCCTTATACGATGGTGTTCATGACTTTTTTTCAAAAGAAGAAGGTCAAAACGCACCAACTCCTCATCCAAGAACAACATCGAGACGCCCGAGGAGATGTCGTACTTGTAAAGAAACAGGTCACAAATCGTCATCTTGTCCATCACATTCAATCCATGACAATTTAGATGAAGATGGAGACGTTATGTAATGTTATGTACCTCATTGGAGTTTTTAATTGGTAAAGCAATTTAACGGAAAAAATACTGTGTTGGTACCCTAAGTTGTGATCTTCACACACACGATTGACTAACAGAAAGCAGTGAAACTGGGTTGATTGCGCGATTCGCATAACATGTCCCATAATAATCGCACAATTGGGTTGATTGTGAGATTCCCATATCATGTCCCATAATAATCACACAACTAGGTTGATTCGCAGGTTCATTCGCTTAGTCTTCAACTGCATAATTAACGAATCGTATATCCAAATCGAAAGCCGCATAATTTGCGACTATCCGCCATTTTTTTCGCATATCCATATGGACCGCATTGATTGATTGTCTGCACCGCATATCCAAATCGAAAGTTCTTCTCATATTATTTGCACAAGTTACGCACTGCATTGATTGATTGTCTGCTCTTACACGTAAAAAACTGTGACGATTTGCATACTTCTTCATTTAGTTGTCGAGTTGATGTATATCTACCTAGCTTTAAATGCTATCTGTAAATATTAACCTTACATTCTCTTTGTTGAATAATTAATCTTTTACTTCTCAAAACCCTAGCTTTCGATCGCAGCAAAAAAAAAAAAAAACCAAGGAGGCGCACGTTTGCGAAAAAAAATGGAAACGATTTCACCTTATGAAAAGATCGTGATCCGCTTCCGTGGCGTGGACTAGACAGAGGATGAGGAAGATATTTGCTACAGATTATTTTTCAATAAGTGTCGTCAGAAGGCAGACATACATCAAGGCCCTGTGTTCAATTCCTTGTGGGCAGAAATTTCAAGTTAACTAAACAAACGTTGAGTTATGCATTGAAGAGGGTGTATACTAATGCCCAAGTCCAGAGTAAGATTCAGCGACTCAGAAATTATTTCGATGAATTTTCTGCTTTCCTAAGGATTTCAGGCGTCCTCTTGCGTCGTCCTGGTTCAGGCTTTGTAGAGGTTAACCACATGTACTGGGTGCATGTGCGGGATGAGGTAAATTTCACTTGATTTTTTATTTCAGTTTGTTCAAGCATGCATTTTTGTGACGCGGCCATAATAACCTAAAAAGATTCAAATTTATTACACAGGAGACCGACGCTCAGGCATTTTTCCGTTCGCAAGGATTCCCTTGGTATCGTGAGTGTTACGAGGTTTTTACCGAGTGCAACCCAACAGCGATCGACTTGGAGGGCGGGCCTGGTGCTTCAATTGACGACCCAATCTGGGGGAAAGACATAGACGATGACGGTGATGATCAGATCCATCAGCCACCACCTAAAGTAGAAGTCATCGATCTCGACCCTTAGAATCCACTTGACATGTAATCAAAAGTTGTTTGGCTTTGAATGTTGGACTGACTGCAGCAATAATAAATATTTTTTTTTTTCCTTCTGTCAAGTATGTGTTTAATCATGATTCATATGTCAAAACACAACAATATGTTGCATGGACAATGAAACCATTAATATCCGTCAACATAGTTTTCCCAGCAAAATCAGCGACAATATTCGAAGGAAAATTATTATTAAAAGGAATTTCGCAGAACTGGGAACAAAGTGCGATAAATCGCATTGTGTTTGCATAACGTAATGAAAAAAATAAGTAAAAGTAATTTATATTATATTTTGTAATTGCATATCCAGGCCAGATCAACCGCATCATTTAGGATATGTGAAAAATTGTCGTGTAATTAGATTATCGCATATCCAAATCGAACGCTGCATTATTTATGATTAAAGAACATAATTTACGATTCGCATATCGATTATGCGTATTGTTTTCACATAATCTATAAGGCTAGATAACTATCGATTATGCGTATTGTTTTCGCATATTTACGAATCGCATATCCATATAAACCTCTCATAATGTATCAATATGCGAACACATTTCGAATAGTGTTACGCACCGCATTGTTGACTGCTTTTTTTCACCTAATAGTTATATTCAATTTAGTCAAAGAAAAGAATTTTCCAAAAATTATTATTTACCAACTCTGCGAATAATATGCGACGTTTGTATATCGCAATTTTATGAGGAATTGTTTCGAGTAATAATCGCATGTTTATTCGCCTATTTGTAATTTAGTCACAGAACAAGAACTTTCCAAAAATTAGATTTTATAAAATTAATTATTTACCAACTGGGGGACTAATATGCGATGTTTGTATGCCGCAATTTCGTATGTCGCAGAATAGAAAATTTACAAAAACAAACTTAAAAAAATATGTTATTCGTTATAGTACGAGTGTTATGCGCGGTTTTTATGCGGAATTGTTTAGAGTAATAATCGCAGGTTCATTCGCCTATTAGTAATATAGTCATAGACCAAGAACTTTCCAAAAATTAAATTTTATAAAATTAATTATTTACCAACTGAGGGACTAATATGCGACGTTTGTATGTCGCAGAATAGAAAATTTACAAAAACAAACTTAAAAAAATATATGTTATTCGTTATAGTACGAGCGTTATGAGCGGTTTTTATGTGGAATTGTTTCGACTAATAATCGCTTGTTGATTCGCCTAACAGTAGTCTTCAATTTATTAGTAGTTTAGTCACGGACCAAGAATTTTCCAAAAATTAAATTTTATAAAATTAATTATGCACCAATTCGGCGAATAATATGCAACGTAGGTATGTCGCAACTTTACATCGACTCAACTACTTTACATCGACTAAAATAGCTATGCCGCGGCGCGGAGGGCCTACCTGTCGCGAGCGTGGAGTGCGGGACTGTGTGGTGCCTGGGAGCTAGCAGTCCGTGTCGTGGCGTTGGCGCGGCGCGGGGCCTGGGCAGGTGGGCAGCTCGCACGACTTTGCTTCTCGGGCCCGTTTGAGTTCGTTTTAACTCGGAATTCGGTTCCGCTTTTTCTTGTGTGTTCCCAACGAACTCCTCTCTTTGATTAGGCTTGCCCAACTAGTATTTTTCCGAAATCCTGTTCTCCCGAGACTTCCAACCTACACACCAACGATGACGAAAAAAAAGGGAAAACGAACGAAAAACACAAGAAAGACCAAGAAGAGAGCAAACACTAAATAAACTATAAAACGACCTAAAAACCAATTAAAATACCTAAAATGGGGGAAAAAGGAAGAGAAAAAGATAACGAATAACGCAACAAAAATGGGACAAACAACTCCCCCACACTAAAACCTTTGTTCGTCCTGAACAAAAAGAAAAGAAAAGACACGAAAACAAGCAAACCATGTATAACAGTTTCAAATAAGACAAGCCTCAAATTAATCAACTAAGCCGAGGAGACTTCCAATGACCAATATAGCACACCTCAATTACAACTCGAACGCAACGCC